CGTCTCCTGCATCGACAGGCGGACTCTCAAGCACTGCGCCACCAGGGAAGCCCCATTCATTTTTATATTTACAAAACATATAGTATGAGGGTGCTTCCCACTTTTTGAGGGTTCCTTTTCTTGCACCTTCCTTTAAAAGAAATTCTGATTTGCTTTTTCAAGAAATATCTGAAGGTGACTTGCAGGGAGGCAGCAAGCCCCTTTATTTTAATCCTTTGGCTACTCTCTCCTAGGAAATAGGACATGCTTTCACATAGCGGAGTACAAGGACTGAATTCAGGAAATTTAATATTAATACAATATTTTAAAATATACTCCCAATATTCAAATTTCTCTGATCATCCCAATCTTTTATAGCATCTTTTCCAATTTGGGATCATGAATTGCATTCGTTGTCCCTTTATTCTGGAAAAATTCCTCTTTCTTTCATGGCATTGACGTTTTTCAAGGGAACAGGTACATTGTTTTATAAAATGTCCCACAATTTGGGTTCGTCAATTTGTCAACTTTACGATTCAGGTTTTGCATTTTTGGAACAACAGCATAGAAGTGCTGTGTCCTTCCCAGGACATCACACATGAGTGGTACCTGTTACCAGTTTGTCCCATTTGGGTAATGTTCAGTTTGATAACTTGTTTAAAGTGGTGCCCGACTGGTTTCTCCACTGCAAAGGTACCTTCCCAGCACTTTGAAAATTAATAAACATTCTATGGGAAGGTACCATGTATGTAAATATCCTGCTACCTAACAAATTCTTACCCAATAGTTTTAGCATCCACTGTTGTCTAAATGAGTTAGTTTTGCAAAATTGTGGTTTTTCTAACTCTATTGTCCCTTCTACTCAGCATTCTACTTAGAAGCATGCATTCCAGGCTCCTTTTCCCATCCCTCCTCCCCTTGGAATGCCCTCCCCACATGGCAAATCCTGCCCATCCTGGAAACCCAGATCCAGGGTCACCTTGTCTCAAAGCCTTCCCCGCCCCAGCCGGTAGATTAACCCACCCACCCTCTCTCTCCACTTCAAGCAAGGTGGCTACAGCTACAGCTGTCTGGCCTCCCTGAGCCCGAGATAGGGAGACACTGGGGAGGGGAACCCACTCCTCCCACGGCAGGACTCCCACCCGAACTCCGCCTGATCTAGCACAGTGGGTCTCAGAGCCTAGTGAGCCCCAGGACCCCTTGCCGGGCTTGGTGAAACACATACCTGGACCCTACCCCCTGGGATTCTGATGCACCACCCCAAAACCTCACGGGCTTAACAACAAAAGTTGGTTTCTCCTTCAGAGCATATGTCAAATGCTAGAGGGCAAGGAGTTTGGTCCACACAGAGACCCAGGATAATGGTGGCTCTGCCAACTTGTGACACCATCATTTCAACATGTGGCTTCAGAGCAAGAGAAGAGCACAGAAAATCATGCATGGACTTTTCTCTGCTCACAGCTCACTGGCCAGAACTAGTCCTGTGCCCTGCCCACTGCAAAGTGACTGGGAAACATGGGGATCAGAAGGGTCAATTGGTGACACTGGTTTCTCTGCCGTAACCATGCTCCCCTTCTGTACTGGCACACAGCCATGCAGGCCTTCTCTCTGTTCCTCAAACACACCACATGCTTTCCTACCTCTGGGCCTTTGCACCAGCTGCTCTCTCTGCCTAGATGCCCGTGTGCCAGATCTCACATGGTTGGCCCAAACGCCACTTCCTTGGAGAGGCCTTTCCTGACTGCCCAAAGTAGCCACCCCATCTCTCACACCAACCTATTTCAATTCTCTGTTGAAATAGGCCTTATTATGCCATGTTTGGGGTCATCTCTCCCCTATTAACAGACTGTACGCACACTCCATGAGAGAAACTGATCACTTATCACCATGTCCCATAGATGTTCAAAATATATCTCCCTCAGCTCATCAACCCTAAGGTGTATTACTATTCCCATTTTACAGGTTAAAAAAGTGGAGGACCCAAACAGAAGTGGCTTACCCAAGGTCACACCACTACCAAATGGTAGCACCTGATTGAAATCCATGCCGCCACCACCCACTACTGTTTGCTTGCGTGATTTCACTGCTCCCAAATATGAAGGTGGCAGAAAATTTTATTTTATCCTTTTGTTCTCCATATGGTGATCCTCCACTGTGCTTGGTTTTTTCGTCTCAACAAGTTCTATGGAGGGCAATTTGGCAACATCTATCTGGGAATTTATCCTACAGATATGCTCATGTATGTGGAAAATTACATATACGCAAGGCTTTTTCATTACAGTGCTGCGAGAGCAAAAATTTGGAATTAACTTAAAGGTCCATGGGGGTGTGTATGTATTCACAGTGGGCACGTGCACGTGGTGGAGTAGTACGCAGCCCTGAAAAGTGAGAAAGAGCTTCAGGTTCTGATTGGAAGGTTATCTAAGGGAATGTGTTACATTAAAAGAAAGGTGGGTTACAACAGAAGTATATGACTTTCATTTCAGTTCCCCCAAGAGCTGAATACCTTCAAGTCTTTCATAGAGATTGTCTCCTCAATGAAAAGAACAAAATACAAATCAGAATAGCAGTGTGCTTTCCATCATTTGAACTTATTTTATTGGTACTCACTAGCAAATAAAATTTAATTGTTGATTTTGGATGCATTACAACACACTTTTTGGTAGTGGGTGCACAATGTTGATCATTTATTAACTATACTAAATACCGCAACCTCCGGATTGTTGATTTTTACACGGGTATTTCCTTTATGATGATGGGTGGCTCCTCTCTCTGAATACATAAAATGGTCCGTTCCATCCATGGTTTTCATATTCCTTTGTTATTCTACCTACTGCTTTAAAATACATTCAAATAAAAAGATATAAGTTCCTTGCAGTGAGTGCACACATACCACAGCGAGGAGAGTCGAAAACGCAATTAACCAACACCCTCGTGTTCAGATAATAAATAGTATGAAATCATGGGACCAAAGTTTGCTCCTGGGGACTTTCTCAAAGTATCTTCAGTGGACATAAGGTCACGCTCACTCAATTGAAGGCTATGTCTTTTGCCAAGGAGGAGGGTAATGGGGGGTGCAAAATGATGATTTCATTTTCATATGATGTTATCCTTCCATAAATGTCTGGAACAAATGGCCACAGAGCACCGTGATGTGCAGTGCAGTCCTCAGATCAGAATAAATAAATGACCTGCTTGGATTGGAAAGCCACAGGTGCACTGTGACCGAGCTGGAGAGGACAGAAGATGTTTGTTTAAAATACAGCACACACAAATAATAAATAAAAGTTTGAAACTTAGTCAGTGACGGCGATGGGACCAGACTCCCTGTTTGTTCGTGGTTCTTCTCACAACACCTCTACCTTTTCCTAAGGATGAAAAGTGGCACAAGGACACAAAGGGCTTTTGGGGACCACTCTGTTCTGAAACAAGAGGGCAAAACGTGTTTTGAGGGCATCGAACGGCTGCGGAAGACCACAGACGTGAAAGCATGCTCACCAGTCTAGGGTCCAGAACAAGGACCAGAACAAGAGGACCGCCAAAGCCTCATTCCTCTGTGAACCAGTTTGGTGTTACCTTTGGCCGTGGTTCTTCTCTTACTTTTACTGTTGACAAAATTTCATCCACCACCTTTCCCCAACCCCCTTTCCTTATGATCCTATTGTTAAAATCGCCTTGGGTCTGGTCTTAATTTGGTTGTGACACTGGGTCCCAGACATAAGCTGCTATCTCATTAGAGGCTTGGTGTGTCCGAAACTTGTATTTTGGTGTCACAGAACCACAGAGAGAACGTTCACTGCGACTTCCCATCTAGTACCATTACTTCCCTGCATATGTTAAAAAAAAAAAAAAAAAAACGCAGAAAAATAAAACAAATCACACACAACACACAGGGGCTGCCAAACGGTGCAGCAGGAGTGTAAATACATTCTCTTTCAGGTCAGACGTCTGGCCCGACAGTGGATTACAAAACATGGAGGGATGAATTCAGGTTGAAGGCATGAGAAGAAAAAGTCACAGCTCAGGAAAAGCAGCGACCGTCTGTTGGGGCCGAGCAGTGATGGTCTTGAAGCTGGGACCCAAGAAAGAGAGAACAGCTCTCCCATCGTGAAAGCTACAGCAGCTGCATGTGGCAGCGGACGGAGGCCCCTTACGCTCTTACAGGGAGGGTGAGACGAGGTGCCCAGTGACACCAGGCGGCACAGCCGCTGCGCTACGTGACAGCTCAGGATGTGTGGCTCCGGCAGCCAGCCGCAGATTCACTGGTTTCCTATCCGTGGGATAAGAACACACGTGGGGGTTTCAGCGCTTCTCAAAGGAAAGAAGGAGGAAAGACACCGGGCTGCCCCTGCCCCCGGCCAGCACGGGCCAAGTCCTCAAGAGAGCGATGTCGGTGCTGGGGTGCCTCCCGTGGGATTCGAAGGAAGGGCAGGGCGGATACAGGTCTCCAGGTCCTATGTACACATTTTACAGAGTCTCCACTCTGCCCCCATTAGGCACGAGGTTGATTAGTCTATAGCTCAGGAGGGGATGGGCAGAGGAGAGCAGAGGAAGCGTGCGCAGTGAAGGGCGAGGGGAGGGAGGGGAGAGCAAGACTGGTTTCCTGTAGGGGAAGGGCCTTCCCCCAGCCTCACCGTAAGCTAGTTTGTTTGGGGAGTTTAGCACCCATCAAGATGCCCGAGGTGAGCGTCACGGGGGCTTTCATCTGCATGCTGGACCCCACCATGGTGGGGAAGCTGCGGTTCCGTCGGATGCCACTGTTGAGCTGGAGCCCGCCGACGGCACTGGTGACAGTGGGGCATCCAAGGGGCAGGCTCTCAGGTACCAGGCCTCTGGGGACAAGGGCCTGCGTGGGGCCCGGGGGCCCACAGAGGAGAGGTCCCTGGTCCTCAGTCAAGGTGGGGACGTGGGGTCGCCCCGAGTTCACCACTTTGGCCACACCAAACCTCCTAACTTTGTCCACGAGGTTAAGGTTGGAGACAGACACGTCGGTCTGGCTCTCGCTGCTCCGGACAGCCCTCTTCGCCCTCACCTCCCTCAGGATGGAGCTGGCTGGCTTGGAAGCCAGGAAGTTGTCGTAGGGAGGGCTCGTGCACTTGAACTCGAAGGAGGGCGGGGAAGACATGGGCGACTGCATAGGCGAGTTGGGCGGGGTAGAGGGGATCACGGCCATCCTGGGGGTGTAGGAGTGCAGGAGAGAGCCCCGGCCAGCCCTGTCCCAGCTCTGGGGGTCGTAGACAGCCGCGGAAATGCCCCGCTCCTTCAGCAGCCACACCAGCCCCAGGGATGTGCTCATGGTGGTCGTGGACTCACGGACGTTAGTGAAGGATTCGGCCAGGCTCAGTCTCCGCGGAGTGCACGGCGTGGCCACCGGCGTGGACTTCAAGTGGCTGGTGCTGCCACAAGCTGGAGTCGGGGCCGAGTTAAGGCTGATGAGAAAAGACGACAGGTCATTGATCAGAAAATGCCCACGAGCGCCAAGGAAGCAGTCCGTGGCCAGCCGCCTGCAGGGGCGCAGTGCAGGCCTAGGACATGCTAAAGGGACTCCCCCAGCCCAGGCTCCCCGGGTGCCTTTTTCCACGTCTGCTTTCCCTCTCACCACAGGGGCCATGGATTCCCCGAAGTGGGGACGTGGTTTAAGTTAACAGGAAGCTGCATGTGATTTCCCTCTTTCAGCCCTAGAGGGTGGGTACAAGTGTCCCCTTTGCAGGTGAGGGAACTGAGGCTCAGGTTAGGTGACTTACTCAACGTCACACTCAGCTACTCAGTGGAAGACCCTGGATTTAAACACAAGTCTGAGTGACCCCAAGGATAGGGGAGGAAGGCCTTCAGCAGAGAGGCTTTCTGTCCCTACCAAATTTACTCAGATTCCTGTCCTCCTTCCCAGTAGCCGCTTCCCTGAGGCATGACGTTAACCAGGGCTACGGGATATGAGAGTTTATCCTGGGAATGGCCGAAGCAGGTGGGACATCTCGGTGGAGGACCCTTGGGTGATGGGGAGACTGAGGCTGAAGGTGCCCATCAACTCAGCAGCAGACCCGGGCCTCCTGACTCCCACCACAGCGTTCTTTCCTCTGCACCCTGCTGCCCTCTAGCCCTTCTCCCGTGGGTGCCCAAGTCCACCTTGATGAGCGGAGTTATTGGGACAGAGGGAGCCACGTCACGTATTATCAGATCTTCATCTATGGAACCACCTAGAAAAAGGCCCACTGGGTGTGTGAAAGCTGGTTACTAAAGGAAAAGTGGAAAGACTCCTTCGTCTACTCATGTCATGCTGACTGAGGACCCACTATGTTCCAAAAGCTGGTATCCAGCAGTGAGGGAGTTAGGGCAGAAGGTATAACAGAGGGGCAGCAGCGGGGAATGCACTGCTGTCTGCCTGAAAACCAGGAGAGACCCACCTTTAACAACTGCTTCAGGGATGGAGTGAGGCCACCCAGGCACGGAGGCCCTGAGCTGCTGCTGGATGAGCAACTGAGCGGCACAGAAAACACACCCCTCCTAACGGTCTCGCGAGACCTGCCCCGGCACCTGCCCAAGGACGCAGCGGGGGCTGCAGGTGCCCCTGGGAACAGGCAGCTGGGTGGTCCCCAGGAGCCGGGGGATAGAGCCCTCTCTCCCCAGCCTGACAGGGGACAGGCCGCATACCTTGGACAAAGCACCAACTTAGGGAAAGGGGAGGAAGGGGATGGGCTCTGGAGCAGGTCCTTGGAATGAGTGGAGCGGGGCCCCCTCCTGCAGGGGGGACAGGTCAAAGGCAAGTACAAGCAGAGGCATCACTTGGCTGCACACTCAGGTGACCTCACCACTGGCCGGTCTGCACAGGGCGAGGAACCCAGAACAGGCCTGTCTCACACAAGCTCGGGACTGGGGATGCTGGTGGGTCGGAAGTACTCAGAGGAACATGGGATTAGAAACCACAGCAGATTCCTAAGGTTAAAAGGTGGATTCTTCAAAAGGCACAGGTGGGGCTTCCCTGGTGGCGCAGTGGTTGAGAGTCCGCCTGCCGATGCAGGGGGCACGGGTTCGTGC